TCAAACAATAAACACATTTTACCAAGGATAAAAAAAAAAACTAACAAACTCTCCTAATTACTCCCTCCGGGTTGATAATACTTGTCGTTTTGGACAAGGGCACGATCTCCAAAAAAACAACTTTAACTATTATTTTCTATTATAATATGTATAAAAGTGTTAACAAATATATGATTTTATTAAAGTACTTTTTAAGACTAATCTATACATGTAGTCACCATATTTGAAAGACAAATATTTTAAAAATAATTCATAATCTTCCCTAAAAAAATGATTCATAATCAAAGATTCTAAAGTTTGACCTTACCCTTGTCTAAAACGACAAGTATTATCAGCCCGGAGGGAGTAATAGATAAACTGCCATACCACATCCTCCTTGAACTCGGTCTCCACTAGATAAACTTCCTTTAATCGATTAATTTCCTTAACCGAATCTACCAAGAATCCAACTATTGGCCACCAGATAATTCGCATCGGTCGATTTCAGGACTCTGAAGCCGATACTGACTCTAGATTGATGATGACTTCGGGGCTTACAAAATTTTGATGTTAACAATCGAACACTAGATAAATACTTCCTAAAGTTAAAAGGAAAGTTACTAAATCTTGCCTAATTAATAAATAGAATTAAACTATCATGCCGTGGTCTTTACGATTCTTCCTTGAACTCGGTCTTTTCAGGATAAGTTTACAAGGATTAAATACAAGTTGGTTTTAGCTGATTGCTACAAAGGTTTCACTGACATCAGAACACCAGCCGGTGTATGCTTAACCTTTGGATCAAACAATTATTCTATCATATCATTATTGACCGATTGGTTTCTATTGGATTATATCATTGTTTAATTACATTATCAGTTGATTGTCTATATACCATTATTTACTCAAGTGTCAAAATATACATTGAACATATAGCTGATTGATCAAAACCCTATAGATATAGGTTGGTATCGACATTGGCTAGCATTGGTATATCGGCTTATTGGCCAATTGGCTCTTTGATCTTCAATTTATACATCTTGTTAGTTGCAGGATAAAACTAGTTGGCACACCCACATCTTATAAATATTTTGGACCTGCATTGAAGCTAAGTTGATCTCCCAGGCCGCCATGCTTTCTCATCAACACACAGCCCGTCCGACCATGCCATGGATGGACCGACGCCATAGCCCATGGGCCTGCACGACATGGCACGGCTACTTTGCGGATTGTCACGGCCGGACACAACAAGCAGTGTCTGCACGACACATGGGGCACGACATTGGATAATGCATCTACAAATTCTTCTGCATCAACACTTTGCATGCCATATTATTAATCTAATTGTTAAAAAAGGGTTTAAGTTATTAAATGTACACATTGAGGCCATTCGTTAAGCAATCACGTTCTAACCATCGCACCAATGGAAAAGGTACTGTGTGGCATCGGATGAGCGTGCACGTAAGTTTATCACCAGTACAAAACATCGGTGGAATGCCACTTATCTAATGTTAAAGTGTATTACATTATAAGGATTTGCTTATTATTTTTCTTCAAACACGTGATGTTTTGACAAGTGATGGGCAACTGCTATTGATAGACATATACTTAGTATGTTGTTGAGAGGTTCTTTCAATTTCTTTTTATCTGAACTTCTAAAGTATATTATCCAACAGCTAATTTAAATTTGCATAAGATTCTTGAAATTGCCACTTTGTTCAAAGAGTATGATAGTGATGAACTTATAGGACCAGCAGTCTTTAGTGTGAAACAAAATTATCTTAAATATTGGAAAAACCTCCCCATGTTGTATGCTTTTGCATTTATTCTTGATCCTAGAGGGAAATACATCGATTCCTCAATCTTTGTTCACTTATTGGAGAAACTAAATATGTTGATTATTCCAACTATTATTCTGATGTTAATACTAAATCATTTTAGGTGTTCCAAAAGTATGAATTAAAGTTTTAGGGAGTCACATTGCAAATACCCACACCCGCCCTTGCAACAGGTAAGAAAAATCATAGTGTAGCAGAATTTGTGGAGGCTCATCTTCCAGCCATGGTGGCAATGGTAGTTCAACCAAGTGTTGACGATAGAGTTGTCCAACTATTTGGATAGCATCGCCATCAGACATGAATCGTCGCACTTCAATGTACACAGGTTGTGGAATAATCACAGGATGTCATATCCTCTTCAAAACTAGCACGAGATGTATTGATGGTACCTGTATCTACGATATCCTCCAAATCGGCCTTCAAACCTCTACGGACAAATTATTGAGGACCGAAGAACATGTTTGAGCAACGAGGACGAAGAAATACTACTAAGCATAAAAGGATAGGAGCTAGCTGCAGAACATACACAATACACTGCTGACAACCAGGAATTGGCCACTCAGTTCAAAACCTTCATTTAGATCAGGAAAAAATAGAGTAGCTAATTTTTTATTTTTGAGTATTGATCTGTAGGTTGTACTCTTTTCTTTGACATTTTTTTCTCAACTATAAGTTTTTACATGAAAAAGTTTAACGGGGCATGATATATCATGAAAACATCAATTACTCTTTTTCCCCGCGCAATTTCCCAATATATTGCTAAGACTATTTTTTTCAATTTTTTTATTCACGTCTACCAATTTCTTTCCTTTTCATCCTTTCTTTCTTAGATTTTCAATCAAGTCGCTGGCTGTGCCATTCAATTTTTCACTGAAAACTGCGCTTGGAATTAGTTGTTAGAGTTAAGTCGTTTTTTAGTTTGCCGGATGGAGGGCCAAAGAAAAACCTCCAATGTAAAACCTTGCCAACCCAAAATATTGATATGCATAACTATGATCTCCTGCAAGTTGTTAATTTTATAGCTGAACACTACATTTGGGGTTCTAAACAGTACTTGATTTTGCGGCGTTCTTTAGATGATGGTATTGTTGAGATAAAATCACATAAGCATATGCTAGAGTGGTTTAGACTCAATGTAGATAAGGGGGTTGTGTGCGTCGATGCCCAAGCCAATAATTTCAATGGTCCATTGCAATTTTCACCCACAAAATGTAGGTGTCATCCTTCAGTAAGGCCTAGAGCATGGATAAGTGAGATTGCTACAAATTAGGGAGCCACAAATGAGAGACACACAAAAGAGAGCCAAGAAATAAAAAAAAAGGGTTCAAATGATAACGATGCGGTAGGAATTGATGATGAGGGCATATACTCTGACACTGAATCACTTGTGGCACATAGTGATAGTAGCTATGATTCAGATTTGGCCGAATCTACTGACTCTAATTGCTCTGACCCTAAGTTTGATCCTGATCAAGAAATAGTTGACGAGGATGACGACGACGACGATTTACCTATCTATGCATATGATATTCATGATCCTTGTATTGATGTTGATGTGGTGTTCCCTGATTGGATCAATGCAAGTTAGCAGTTACCCATCATATTATCTTGAATGATCATGCTTTTGAAACCAACAAGAAAGACAAGTAATGTCTTTGCATATCATGTTCATGATGCTTGTATTGATGTTGATGTGGTGTTCCCTGATTGGGATCAATGCAAGTTCGCAGTTACCCATCATACTATCTTGAATGATCATGCTTTTGAAACCATCAAGAAAGACAAGAAAAATGTTTAGAGCCATTTGTAAAAGAGCGGAATAGGGTTGCGAGTGTCCTTTTTTTTGCATCTACAGCCCCCAAGTACATTGGATGCAAGGTACTTTCAATAAGTTGAAAGCTATTCATTATTTTTTTGTAGGTTAAGACAAGTGGACCAAAGCACACTTGTTTATCTTTCAACAAGTATGGTGAAATGATGGCCTCAACTAAGTGGGTAGTTGATCGAGTGGTGGACTTGTTGCGGGATAACCCCTCAAGGGGAGCAAAGGATCTGCAAGCACCATATTAATATCCTATAATTTAGGGTCTTCAGAGGATAAATGGAAAGTGGGATGACAGCTACGATCTTCTGCCTACCTATCGTGAAGAGCTATTAAGATCAGTGCCAAGCAGCTTAGATGAGTTGGACAGTAAAGAGTGCAATGGTGATGTCTGCTTCACGAGGTTCTCTGTTGCTCTCAAACCCTATATCAATGGGTTTTTGAAAGGATGTAGGCGTTACATAGATATATACTCCACTCACTTGACTGGAAGGTCTAGAGGCCAGTTGGCATCAGCTGTTGCAATTGATGGTCATAACTGACTTTTTCCAGTGCATATGGGGTGATTGAGACCGAATCTAAGGAAAATTGGACTTGGTTTGTTCAGAACATGAACAAAGCTATTGGTACTCCAAAAGTTGTCTATTCTTTAAGTTGTTTCTTGCATGCTCCATCTATTCAATTTCAACTGAATAACCAAGAACTATAGTCCTATTGTAGGTTTGGTCATTAGTATAGATGCAGGCAAAGGAATATAGAGTGTTGTAGATGATGTTTATCCAGGAGTGGAACATAGAGAATGCATGAGGCACTTGTGGAAGAACATGAAAAAGAAGTTCCATGGCCCTCTATTTGCCCAAAATATGTGAGCGGCTACCAACAGCTTCATGAGTGAGATAGAGGAGAAGTGTTCCGATGCACTTTCCTGGTTGGATAACAATCATTCATACATTTAGAGCATAACCAAATTTTCTGAAGAGTGCAAGGTAGATTACATCAATAATAATCTTTCTGAATGCTTCAATAGTTGGGTCTCAACAACCAAGGATCGACGGATTGTGGACATGCATGATGCAATAAGACAGATCATCACAAACAAGTTTGTTGTAAGATGGAATATTGTTGGTAACATGGAGGAAAGAATAATTCCAGCTATTACAAAGTCTCTGAATGCTAAAAGCAAGAATATCCAGGAACATGAGTTATTGATATGTGAAGCTGGAACAGCTGAAGTAACTGTGGGCACCTTTAGGCATGCAGTACATTTGGAGAGTAACAAACATGTTCCTGTAGGGTTTGGCAAGTGACTGGAAAGCCTTTCGGTCATGCTTTAGCTTTCATTGCGAAGCTTAGTAGGGATGTCCATATCGATGATTTTGTGGATGACTGGTTCTCCATTGAGAAGTTCAAGAAGGCATATGTAGGGACTTTCAGTCCAGTGACATTGAAGGATAGATGGACATGTTGATATAGGATATAAAATCAAGAAGCCTAAATTGTTACGGAACCCTGGGAGACCAAGAATGGCTAGGATAAAGGCAAGTGATGAGGCTGGCACTAGTAAGAGAAAATAATGCACTGAATGTAATGAGCTAGGCCACACGGCCAAGACTTGCCAAGGAGGTCCCACAGCAAGTCAAAAGAGGAGGCACTCATCTTTAGAAATTGGAACAGTAGAGAGGGGAACAACGAACCAAGTGTTGCACATCAAAGTGAGTCATGTATTGCTCTTTCCTTATATTTATCTTCAATTTTTGCTTATTTCAGATTTTGCTTATGCTTATTTTGTTATTGTTGATCTCTCTTAACCATCAAGTGCAAGTGCAAGGGAAAGGGTAAGTGACAGTGGCGATGTAGGTGGAAGGGGAAGTGGCAGTGGCGATGCAGGTGGAAGGGGAAGGCAATGAAGAGGAGGGAGGCTAGCTTCATGGTTTGCATGATTTGGACATCTATATGCCCCTTTTAAATAATTTTGTGCACTTTTGTGCTAATATGGACTTGCAATATGATCTGGACTTGTAATATGTGGTATTGTGCCTTCTATGTTGTGCACATGTAATGTGTGTTGTTATGACTATGTAACACTAAGTAATGTTTGTGGTCTATGACATCTATGTATTGTGGCTTATTTGTGTTGGACAATTTGTAATGTTTGCTATATATATGTTACTTGTGCTATTTGTGTCGAAATTCTGTTGAAATGCTGCTAGAATTATGTTCAAATTCTATACTTGACTAGTATTTGTCATTTTTTTTGTTAAAGTACAAAAACATCACACGAGATGTGCTCATATTTGAATTATTTATCACAATCTTATATCATTACATAATAGGGTAAAATCACACGATGAAAAAAAGGGGGCAAAAATGCAACAACCACTAAAGATATAAATGTCCTTTCGCCCCTGGAACTAACACCGTCAAAAGTGAGGGCAACCGTCAGGTTTGTTTTCAAAAAAGTGGGGGCAAATTTGCAAACCCTAAAAAGTGGGGGTAAAACAACAGTTGGGATTGAAAGTGGGGGAATGGATGCAATTGCCCATTACCACATTAGTGAAATATTGTGTGTGATTAAGGACATAGGTGCCAAAGGTCTCAATTGAATCTCTCCCTCGACCACAAAAACCCCGATCCAAAATTACTTTCTGTATTTCAAATCCTCTTGAATTTCTCATTATCAAATTCTAACAAATTCCTTGAGTTCCTTTCCTTCGAATCCCCTTAATTTGTTGAGTTCAAATATCAAATTTGTATTCAAATCCGAACTCGAAATCCTCAAATAGCCTTTCAAAAGCTTCCCTAGAAATTTTCACTTGTTACTATGCACATGGTCTAGAAAGCTTCCCTAGAAATTTTCAAAAGCTTCCCTAAAAATTTCCTCTCCCTCCTCCCCTTCCCTCTTCCTCAAGTCTCCCGCGCACCACAAGCCTAGCCCAACACTAGCCTCCTCTCTCTCCCCTCAACCCAGATCAGCAACGGCCCGATCCCCTCTCCTTAACTCACGCAAGGCCGTCGGCACACGCCCAACATGCATGCATGCACCACCTCTCGCGCGGGTCCATATGTTAGCGACCGTGCTCCCCACAGAACCACCTGTCAAGCCCACTCTCTCCTCCCATCTTACTCTCTTTTATGATCCCTTTCCTTCCCTCTCTTCTCTCGATTCTTTTCTTTTCCATCCTTCCCGCTCAACGTCTTACGCGCGTCCATCCCTCCATATCGAGCCCCTAAACCGACACCATTACCTTTTCACGATGCCGCTCCATGTCAGTCGCTATCACTCTGCCCACTGCGGTTCCACCACCACCAACCTCAAAACAACCAACTCAACGCCACCACCACACTCATCACCACTAAGCGACCACGCTCCAGCCATCCCCCGAGCCCTATTCATCGATGGAGCTATTTTCCCCAAATCTCATCCGTCGATGTTTTGTCGCCACCATTCTCCTCTTCTCCTCTGATGAGCCCTCTTTCTCCCCTCTATCTTCAATTGGTGAAGAGTCACACCTCACCCGAACCATCACACACCCAAGTCACCGCTCTATTGGTCGCCGCACAGCGAGGGCCGCTCGCCGCCACACTTGGCTCCACGCTACTAGCCCCTATCATGCATCATCTACCCCATCCGAGCCATTCACCCTTCTTCACCTGCCCACTCAATGTGCCAATGGTCTCCGTCGGCTTGAAACCACCGTAAATTAGTGATGCGCTAGTGAGTGCCACCTGTCATCGATATTTCTAGCTAGTCTCCTCCTTCCTTGGTCAAAGCCTGCATGGCCTACCACGTCGGCCGCTGCGGGCCACCACCCCTACACTCCCACTCGCCAGCCTCTCACCACCTAGGACACGTGTGCATAGGTCGACTTCAACCCACTGCATTTCCAAGTCCTTATGACCCTCGTCACCCTTCTTCCTCTTTGGGCTAAAGACCAAGTCCGTGCCCCCAGTTTCCTTAAAAAAATCCAGTTTATCTCCTTCTTCACCCACTCAATGACTTGTGGACCCACTTGTGATTAGGGATGCAAGCGGGCCAACCCATGAACCCGCTTATAAGCAAAATTAGTGGATAACCCGCGGATTGACCCGCGGGTTACCTATTAATTTGATCTATATATGGGTTTATGGATCAATCCACTTGTATCTCTAGGTGCGACAAACCGGACCACAATGCGTGAACCCGTGGGTTACTACTTATTTGACAGATAAGTAGGTTCACCGGTCAGCCCGCTTGCATCCCTACTTGTGATCCAAAGAATATTCTTTTCCAAATTTCAAATAATTCCTTTTCTATTTCCAGAAAATCATTTAAATGTTCAAAAAATCATATATCCCTATTCGTAACTCCGATCGATCCCATTCAAGTCTCCATTTTTTTTTCTAAGATTGAAATCTACCAAATGACACTTATAATTATTAACAATGGTATTTTATTTTAGGATTTTGTTTATTTTTCTCTTTGATGCACGTAGTCGACGACGACAAAATTTATTTCGGACGAAGATTTTTTAAGACTTCGAAGACGAAGACAGTGGCAAGGCACTTTTTCATCATATTGCTCCTTGTTTTAGAAATGTTTTGTTTGCGAATTGTATTGCTAGTGAGCACGTTAAATTTGACTGGTCTCAGTTCGCACGACGAACCAACAGACCTACCCAGTAGTTGCATTACTCCAATAGGACGCTGATGACCCCCAATCCCTTGTCGCTCCACCCCGTGGTACCTCGGTAAACCGTGCTCATGAGCTCACATCACCCTTGTTTGTTGATGTGGAAAAATATGTTGTGAATCCTTTTAAAAACTGACACGCGGTGGTTTATATTTTGCATATAAGGACTTATTCCTTGGTAATTTTATCCGAGCTTCTCATAGTGCGACTATATGGGTGGTATGGGGCACCTCTGGCTAAGTAAATAGTTGGCCAAGTATGCCTTGTTTCCAATAGTTGGGGAATGCCCCGGATGAGGAGATGTGAGTTGATTTGTTGCGCTAGGCACAAAACAAAGTTTAACGTGTTATGCACGATTGAGTAGCGGCATCCCGTATTCTTTAGTAGACGAGGGCCGAAGTTTCCCTGATGCTCAGTTCAAAGAGAATCCTTCTATGTGACATGAGGTACCCCTAGTTGGATTTGGAAAGGCCTTGTCACAAACCTTCCCAGCTTGGCCAGTGAAGGAGTAAGATCGCATCTTGTGGGTGAAGTTTACAACCTCTGTAAAGGTCTACTAATTCGAAGAGTCTTACAAATGGTAATGGGCGAATGTGTGGCGATTCCTCTCACGTAGATTTGTTTGCCTATGCTTTGCGAAAGTGGTTTGTGGGTTTGGAAATCATTACCAGAATCAGTCGTGGTGACTGATGGAGGACCATTACGTGGTCTGAAACAATCTTGTGTAGATCAGGATGTCAATTAGCGTCATATATTAGGTTTCCCGAAGGAAAGCATTGTGTGTTGGAGACTATGGAAGGCTTTAGGACCCAAAGAGATGAGTTGATGAGATGGGCTAACGTTTGATGGTTTGAAAGTGAAAAGGAACTAATATTTGTCTAATGTCATGATAAGGAGTTGGAAGCTGCCTGAGGGCTGATGGTGTTCCACCAATGTCATGATAAGGTCAACCGGCAGAATAATTTTAACCAACTAATATTTGTTTTGTCCGCTTGAGTTGTTGCAAAGCAATTCGCGGACAAGATCAAGGCATATGCTTCTTTCCGACCACTTGGTAAACAATGCCACACTTAGTGTTTTGGAAAAATGTTTTCAAAATTTGCGAAACAAACCCAACCCTCCTTTCCAGCCTGCATTCTCAGTTACCCATGACTTACTGAGTACGTATGTACTCAACCGCCGTTTTTTCCTTCTCGAGAAGAGAAGTGAACTTGATGGTTAGGGTTTCCTTACAAATCCCAAACCGTTGTTTGTGGATTGGGTCTACCTACACAAGGTTTCGCTGTTGCTACCCTGATTGCCTATTACACTCCAGAAGTTGCTCCGAAAGTGTGAACTCTTAAAGGTATAATATATATGTACCGCGTTTAGTTGACATGGTGCATCTCGATTGACCGCGGTACCAGCAATTGTATCCTGAGACTAGTACCGTTATCGTGGTTCCAGGGGAGTCAGCTTGCGTTGATTTCCTACGGCGTACCCTCTCAGGTGTCACTGCTAGGTGGTGAAAGGGCAGGGTGTGACAAGTTTCTTGTGTGGCCATTAAAGAGTAATGGTTAGATGAGAAATCCAAAAGCAATTCATTGAAAAAGAATGAAATACCTACCATACAAAAGATAGTGTTAATTATTTTATGTACGTAAAGTAGGTATTGAACTTTATAAAGTGTTGAATTTTTCCTTTCGAACATCAAAGAGTGGTAGCTATAACTATTACATTTATATGTGGTCCGAGATTTTTTTAAAGGATTACTGACCATCTTGCTCCGTGTTTAGGAGGCTAGATCATGCTAGAGTAATGGTGCAATGGCACTAGCCAACATTATCATTTGGATAAAATAGGGCGATAGGTTCTGGATAACGCAACGATACACTATTCTTGGTTTCTCTAGAAAGAGATAAATGCTCGTCTTTTAGGGGATGTGTCGTTCACCAGAGGTAGCACGGAGCGAAAACGAGGATTCGTGGACTTTGCATGTGACAAGGCTAGTGGGACCAATCACCAACATATGGCAATAGTGCCTGGCAGTTTCAAACTAGTGCCTAGCTCATTATTTGTCAAAGTAGCAACGCTAGCTTAGATATATCGACATCAGACTTGATGTTGTCTTTGTAGTACTTCGTTCTCCCAATCTAAATAAAACTAGATGAAACTACACACGTTTTCCGCGGGAATATTGTATGGCAATGGCACAAAATGAGGTACAAGATGGATTTGCCCCAACTCTAGTTTTTCCATGTTCTTATTTATGAATGTTGAATTAGCTTGGATACAACTATTTAATTTTTTTTTAATATTGGAATTACCAAATCATCTACACCTCAAAAGGCCCCAGAAATATTTTTCCTTCTAATACTAAAAGTAGCATAGGGGCATCCATGGAAGCCACCATATGTGTTTGTTCTATCTTTTCATGATCTTTGACTGAACACCTAAAAATACATTGGAGCATGATGCAAATGTCTAGGATGAACATGACTTTTTCTAATACTATAAGACTATCATAGATATCAATTGATGTGCATCACCCAACCAACTTGAATCAAAGTCACAAGACCATGATGATGTCCACAATTATGTTAGGTTCTCTAAAAACTTTAGAATTAAGTTATAATTTTCAGCCAAAATGAACCTTATGCTAAATCTTGTATGATTCATGGTGAAAATGTGGATATAGTTTAAATGAATATATCCAAAAGTGCATATCACTAGTATCTAAATACTTGACACATCAATGTATGATTATAAGTACCAAAAAGTAAGGTGATGTCGTATCTTATATTAGATACTCTCTTAGGAAGAGGATACTATATGGCTTGGTCATTATCATTTCCAAGCTTGTATATATCAGCAATAGATTGGTGATGTGGAACATAGCATCAACAAAGGCCCAATGTCAACGTGTATTAGTAATATCATGGCGTTGAAAATTTGTTGATAAATTTATAGACTTTACCAATGATGTATTGGCATATCGGTGATTTTTTTCAATGATTTTTTTTTTCAGATTTGGGGCATATTCCTGATCCAATTAGGAAAAGAGAAGGAAGTGTGGTCTCAATCCTCATCAACAAATGATCATGAAGACTTGGATATTGAGTTAAGGAACTCATCCTCTAAATGAGATGGTATTTCAAGATAATATATTGTAACTTGTGTTCATAATTTTTTTAATGTTTTGTCTCTCATTTTTTTAAGTGATACGTGCACTGTTTATGATCTTGAAGTTGAGTTTGAGACCACATTTCTCTACATGTAACGGTTCACTAAATTTGGTACGAAACTCATGCGTTCCTTTTTTATGCTGAAAGCATGCATGCTGATATATTCTTTTGGTTACCAACTTTTATCAGATGATATCATGTTATACCCAAATGTTATGCAAAGCCCCAAACATTATATATTATCTATAAAATTAATATTAACAAACTATGTGTTATTTACCCTTTTAGTATGAAGGTTCATGCACAAAACGAAAGTTTATTACAATCCTTTGAAATTTAAGTAAGAATAATCAATGATAGAGAAGTATCATTGGGTGAGATAATGTAGGGTACGCTTGGATATCTAGAAAGGAAAAATCCTATCCTTGATGGGAAAGGCATGCCATTTGGTAATGCTAGAAGATTCTCGCTCCGCTAGAAAAGAAAAGGCTAATAATGACATCAAAGACCTTGCGCTGGTAGAGAACCAAATTGGGCCTACACCCACAAGAGCAAGAAAACGTAGAAACAATGACGAACTCACACACGCATATCGTCATTTAGCAGACTTTGCATCCAAATAATTTTATTTGCTTCTCTTTGCTATGCATGATAAAAGAAATATAAGCTAGCGATCCAAATGTAATGTCTTCTCTATCATAGATTCTTTGGTTTATTCTATTAGTTTGGATAAGGAAGCTATAACATCCTTTGATGTATATGCTAAAAACTAAAATGTCTATATCCAAAATAAAAGGTTGCAAACATGCCAAAAGATACATACACCTATAGGTATGAAATCTTGAAATTTAAATACAGAATTTTTATTCAAACTAACTAAAATTGTTATTTGTTGCTCTATGGAGTATGCGACAAAGAACTATTCTATGACAATTGTTATAAAGGGAAACTAACAAGTGGCATTATGATAAGTAAGCAAGTTAAGGGAATATGTAACAAACGAAAGGGTATTGCGTACATAGGGGTAATGGGAAATGTTACTCCAAATTATGATCACACAATAATCTTACTAATTCCATTAGAGAATTGAAACCAACAACCCAAAAGTTCTTCTCAAAGAAACCATAATGACAAAGAGCTCTATTGCATTCAAGGTAAGAGGAGCCTTTTCTATCCTAAGGGACAGGAAAATTTTGTTATTGCATGCTTTCAATCAACACCTACAATTGCCATAGTCTATGTTTTTGTTGAAAACAGATCCAATGCATATTTATTTATACGACACATTTTAGGAGATAATGCTGCCTTTTCTAATTCAAAACATGCATCAATAAAATCAGCTGAAAATAATCTTGCAGTACACAATTTTACACATATATTTCAGTAAGGTTAACTCAAAACAATAACTGACAGATAAAATATGTGTGTCCTGTTTTAATTTCTGCACAAACCTGAATACATGCTAGTTGTACTAACTATTCAAGAAGACCAATGAACCACATTAACTTATTTATGTCTATTATGGCAAATATCCATATTGACTAATAGACAATCGTAGGGTAAGCAAATATGTTTGTTTCATTCTACCATTCTGGATTATTATGGTCGGCTGCCATATCTAAATAATAACGTGGTTCTCAGGTTCCACCCCAAGTATTATCTTGGTTTAATTCATATTAGTCAGTGCCCACCCTATGTTCATGTATATATTATTATTACCTTGTATTCAATCACATGGGTGCATTACATATTATCTTCAGGTAATGACCTCAGACGACGAGAAAGATCAGAGACATAGAATTTCATGGTTTTCTTTTATCCATTATTATTTTAGATGTATGCAGTTTTGGCAATAAGCTACATGTTGTTTTAGTTGTACAGCATTAATAAGATTGGAGGCTCCCTGGAAACTCCCGTTAGTGTGCTTTCATGCATGTTACGCATAGAAATTCATATGCACGGCAAGATTACTGCAACGTACATTATCATTAACTAATTAGTGCTCATATCATATTGCCCTCCGGAATGCCAGTACTAAGTTGCCTATGTTTTCAGAATTTCTAACCTTGCCAGTCTCACAACTAATTTCTTTATGGAAGTAGTGTGACTGTTTAGACGGCAACTGAACAAAGCAAAGTGAAGTTTGGCAATTCAGTAGCTTAGCATAGCTTTTCTAATACACTAGTTAACTAGCGTATACTAATTAAGTCATGTGTAATTGGAAATTGATAAGATTAGCCGGTGAGATGTAAAGAACCGGTGGTTATGTACCACTGAATACAACATAGTAGTACTCTCTAATGAAGCAATAGACCACCCCTAGATGTGGAACCGATAATTCTATCTAGTTAATACAGTACGTGGCCAGGAAATAAAATCCACCACAGTGCGTGCATACAGCAGCAGTACACTATCACATGCATTGGTTTTGTTTCTGCACGTCATGTCAGCCCAAATGATAGCAACAGCAAGTAGCCCAAGAAAGAACATGTATTGCAAAACAAATCACTGATTAACTAGCCGTACGTCTAAGCAGCCCGGACCCCCAAAAAATACAGTAAGAGCAAGAATAGTAATGGGCTATAAGCAAGCTATATGCTTATGTAAAAGAGAGAGATAAAAAAAAGTGGGTAGTGTTGGCTCTCATACAAGAGCCAGCTCCACACAAGCTCCAAAAAATTTGCATTAAATTCATAGAGTGAGAAAGAGAGAGAATGGAAAAAATAAAGTTAACCTTATAGCTAACCTGTTATACAAGTTAGCTCCAACATTGACTTATAATAAGCAGTGAGCTCTGCTATTAAACTTGCTCTAGGGATTCTGAAATATTTCTTCAGACAAAGCATTAAGTGCGTTCGTTCAGACAAAGCATTAAGTGCGTTCGTTCTCGACAAATTTCTAGACTGACCTCAATCGCCACACGGGGAAATATAGTTTTTGCCGTCTTTTCAGGCCGAATTTTCCTATTGGCCGTCGTCATTAAATTTATCGGGTATAATAGTGAATCCCCTACATGTAGTAGCAACTGTCCTTATAGCCAGACGGCAGTGGACACTTTAAAGTTGAGCCCAGATTGCAGCAAGCAAGCATGAGGATTGGAGGAAGGAGATCAGAAACGCACTCGTCGGCAAAATCCAGGCGAGAATCTCTCGGGCGGAGACGTGCGGTTGGGGGAAAGAGGCAAAGAGCTCGAAGAAATAATCAAGATAAGCAGATTCTTGGGGGAGGAGAGAGAGAGGGCAGCATGGCATCTGCATAGTGCAGATGTTATACTAGTAATTCATCACACCCACAAAAAAATTTGCAAGAAAAAATCTGCGGACGCATCACGAAGGGCCATCAAGCCGGGCGGGGGGCAGTTGCTACAGGAGTTTGGCACAGGCAGCGAGAAGATCCATCGGTCCTCGCAGGTTTTCTTCTTAGGGATTTCAGGAAAAGACTAGTAATAAACTAATATGAGACCCCCGTTCCCCACCACTAAGCAACAAAACAAGAGAAGATTGGGGGATGGGGACAAGAAGAAGAGCAGATTGGGCAGGAGGAGGAGGGGGGAGGGGGGGTGCGTACCTGGCGCTGGCGAATTCGTAGAGCTTGCCGCGCGGGGAGAAGACGATGAGCGCGACCTCGGCGTCGCAGAGGACGGAGAGCTCGAAGGCCTTCTTGAGCAGGCCGTTGCGGCGCTTGGAGAAGGTGACCTGGCGGCTCGTGGGGTTCTCTATCCGCTTCATCTGCGTCTTCCCCCGCACCATCTTCGATCGCCGATGAACCAACCAACCACACGAGCGGCTGCGGCCTGCACGGCGGAGGAGGAGGAGGAGGAGCAGCGAGAGATGCAGCTCTTTTCTTTTTTATCCCAATTGGAGGGGCGGCGGACAAGGCAAAAGTGGTAAAACGCAAGGGGATCTGAGAGTCGGCAAAGGGCGACTCACCAAAAAAGGCAAGGAGTGGTGGTGGAGGCGCTGTAGGGTTTGGCCGTAGCCAAAGCTGCTCGCTCGCTCTTCTTTCTCCCCGACCCCCTCTCCCTTCTCTCCCCTCCCTCTCCTCCTCGGCTTTCCTTTTTGGTCCCTGCGGGTGTTGCCGTTTCCCTTTGTTCGCGTAGTGGCCACCCCACCGCGCGGTAGGGGGAGACAGAGGCAAACGGCAACAGGAGGAGTGCGTGCGGTTGCGTTTCCGTTTTTTATCGTCATCATGGCCACCGCACCCAGGGGCAGAAGTGGTAATGCATCCGGGCCGAACAAACAAGGAAAGCGAGGCCGAAATTTCCCATCCGGCGAAAAAGTTGGTTCCGCTTCCGCCCCCCCCCCCCCCCCCATTGGCTGTCTCTTCTCGGGGAGAGAAGCCCAACATTATTGGTGCCACAACACGGGTGCGCCGCATTTTTTGCAATTACCCGCCCGTAACCATACGCTATTTGCATTGCACCCCCTAGTCCATCCAACCGGGACGAGGACGACCACGACTTGAGCGAACCTCCAACCACGCCCCACGACGTGTGCCGCAGTGACCGCTCTGATGACTGGCTGCCTTTTGGTTTCTGTCTTTGACACCCCACCCGATTGGCTGCTCACCTCACCCCGAGGTAAACTAGTGACTTTTCGACGTTAAAACACTTTGTCATGTTCGGTTGAATAAAATACTGTACCGGACAATCAGATCTCGCGCTCGACGAGGATTATAAAAAGATCATGCTCACTCGATTCACAACGTATTAGTATTACGAAAAGTTCCATCCTAACAGGTGCTTTACTCGTGATTGTTCCAAAATTACTGTTCCGAGAGAATCTCCACTACTATTTCACATCAAAAATCCTAGTACTAGCTAGCAGCCTAGCACTAGTAAGTACTACTCCCTCCGTCCCACAATATAAGGGATTTTAAGTTTTTGCTTGCAACGTTTGACCACTCGTCTTATTTAAATTTTTTTTGCAAATATAAAAAACGAAAAGTTGTGCTTAAAGTACTGTAGATAATAAAGTAAGTCACAAATAAAATAAATAATAATTTCAAAAATTTTTGAATAAGACGAGTGGTCAAACGTTGCAAGCAAAAACTCAAAATCCCTTATATTATGGGACGGATGGAGTAGTAGTAAAAGCAGCATGAGCATAGCTCACTTCCTTAGGCTTTTTTCACTGGGATTTACTGTGACATTTCAAATCACATGTGCTCCTATTTCCTTTTGGATCAAGAGATGAGATAAAAGCCGATGTTATATTAAGCTTAACATCGACTCCTAGTGGACTTTCAGAGAAGATCTATACTACTTTAAAAGAAAAAAAAGAGTGGTGGATATGGTGAGTCTGCCACTCCCACCACCAAGTCCCCTAAACTGACACATGGAACCTACGTGAAAGTCGTTTTTGCATTTAAATATTTTGTAAAATCAAAGGTGTTTTTTATTATTATTTTGTGATGAACAATTGGGCATTGGAGATTATTGGTTTTGTTATTTGGAATTTATTCACGAAGTGGTTTTGGATATGATTGGATTTCACACGTGATCGCAGGATTCGTCATTTTATGTGACCGGTCAGACCGAGCTCTGGTAGCCGGTTAGACCGGCGTGTAATGCGCGGTCAGACCGGCGCAGCCCGCGGTCTGTGTCGGTTTCGGTTTCGGGTTGTTTATTTAGATGTCCGAATTTATTTCATGATTATAACTTCTAGATGGATACTATACGTATGTAATACTATTGTTTGCTGCTGATGAGTCAAGTTGGAGATAGCTTGGTCTCGGAATATGGTTTCTTTGTTTGTTCCATGTGTAGGTGACTCGATGTCTCGGGAGAGTATTTGCGGTGATGGACCGGGAGTCGGCTTGGGGATAAGACGACATCCGTGGTGGTCAAAGATCATGCGGGATACTTAGGCTAGAGTTGATGCACGTGGTTGATGGAGATTCCATATGGCATACGATGGAGTTATTGTGTGCGTATGGGATGCGGAGTCGAATTTGGAAGGAGTCCAAATTTGGTACAATTGGTTATGTAAAGTTTCTTTCTTGTACTAGAGGGTTTCCTAAGGTGTTTAGGACTCTTAGTATGAGTTTGGTTCGTGGCTTTAGGCTGCCTACCTCATGTATAAATAGAGGGGGAGCGTGAGGCTTCCCGGTATTGCTTTTGAGAGCAATTGAGTTGAGTTTTGAGTTAGGGTTTCGAGTTTAGTCGAAATTTTTGTAAGGAGTGCTGTTGGTGCACTTTGTAAACACAGAGAGAATCAATAAAGTCGTCATCTACTTTAAGAATTCTTCGATTTGTGTTTCACCGGGTTTCGGAGGTCTAACCGGCAACTCACCGGCGGTCAGACTGGCGGCATTGCGGCGGTCAGACCGGCGGGAGCACGGCGGTCAGACCGACAGCGGCGACAGGCGCGGCAGGCGATCTCGGCGGTCAGACCGGAGATTCATCACCGGTTAGACCGGCGACATCGACTCGGTCAGACCGGCAGATCAATCTCGGTCAGACCGACTTCCATCGATTTCGAGGGTAACTTTTATTTCCGCTAAAATTTTTCGGTTTTTGGGTATACCAACCATTCACCCCCCCTATGGTTGGCTTAGTTCTTGTGATTCGATCCTACATATTTTACACCTTTAACATCTACCTTTAATGGTCCAAAAGCAATGATTAAAAGGTAAAGAAACATAAAACCATGACTAAATTTAGAAATAAATTATTTTTTTCTTATTTGCAATATGTCCATGATATTTTTTTTAAAAAAAAACCCATATATAATGGCATACGAATATTTTGCTAGTTTTAGAAGGTTTTGAAGAGGAGTGAAGAATAATAAAAAGGAATTATTCCCGTGGATTAATGGTCTGGCTCTTTCTTGTGTCAACTATACTATTGTAAGTGGGTAGTATCTACATACAAGTCTTGTCATGAAGCTCATACCAAACTCCAGCTTGATTTGCCCAAAAACAAAGCTCAAGTGGACTAGGTATGAGCCGCATCTCCTCCACTTCGAACATCGGGTAGGCTTTAGGGACCTTCTATAGCTCTAGCCGAGAAAGAGGAGAAGTGTTGAGGTAGGGAACTGGCGTTCAGGAGGGGAGCTCTGAGCTCGAGAGAGCTAAGCTGATCTTTATTTTATAACGATGAAATTGTACCGAATTTGATACTGATGAACGTGTACAGAACATGGGAAGATAGTAAATCTGTACTAAGGAATTGCTTCATTCTTTTTTCTGGATTTGTACTTAAATAGTTAAATATACTAGAGAATTGGTGTTGAATTTTTAGTGAACTATAAATCGAGTGGAATGTTTGGTGCGAATAAATTGTTGATGGTAGTTACAAGATACTTGTAGAAAAATGTGGATGAAAATAGGAAGTGAGATTTAGGCTCCCTTGGACCGAGCGATTTGCATGAGCTAATTTGCAACACGCTATTACTGCATGATTAATCTAGTATTAATTATTACAAACTTAAAAAATAGATTTATTTATTTATTAAAGAACTTATATATAGAAAAGTGTTAGATATAATGTACTGTTTATCGATTTAAGAACCGTCCTCATAATTAATAAGGATTTTTCAGACCAAACTCACTAAAAACTCAGCCTTAGGTAGCCCTCTGGAGTGCTACTTGCTGCTTAGATAGGGAGTTAAAAATAGCAAACACATTGAAGATGCTCTACATGGGATATTTTTCGTGGACCTAAAGTATCGGGAGCAATTAAAAATGGAATAGAAAGGGGTTACAGCGGATACCATTTTCCATTCCTTCCAGATTCTAGCATGTCACTTTCCACTCCCGGTCTGCTTTGATACTAGCCTCACACGCCGGTTCGTGTCTTTTTGGTGGATGCTTAAATGGCATCTTTGAATTTTCAAACCAAACCTCTTAATTGTATGATGAAAAAAGTAGAATTTCATTGTTTTACAAGGTGGAGGATGCAAGAAAAAGGTGATCTACAATGGCCCTATTTAGTTTCCAAAACAAAAATTTTCACGGTGTCACATCGAATGTTTGACACATGCATGGAGTATTAAATGTAGAAAAAAATAAAAACTAATTACACAGATTGTGTGTAAATTGCGAGACGAATCTTTTAAGCCTAATTATGCCATGATTTGATAATATTGTGCTACGGTAAACATTTGCTAATGGTAGATTAATTATGCTTAATAAATTCATCTAGCAGTTTTCTGGCGGAATATGTAATTTTTTTTATTATTAGACTACATTTAATACTTTAAATATGTGTATGTATATCTGATGTGACGAACAAACTAAAAAAAATTTCCCCAACTAAACGAGGCCAATGTTAGAACGGCAGGTCCAAATTATTCTTTTGACAACGCCATCAGCTTCTCCTAAACGGCATGGCCCTACACCGTCAGCTTATTCTCTCCATTACTTTTCATCAAACATTACCACATGAAAGTGTGCAACCAGCTAGGCAAGCTCAATGACATCGTGGTCCCATGCATCTATAGGGCCACATGTCAGTCTTGGAGTAAACTTTTGATGGACAAAACAACACTACTCCTTGCCTGGGACCACATCTTTTTGATGGAGAGGCATTAGCCAATCCCGAGCGAGTCCGAGGGTGGAGCAAACAGGTCGGTGTCCTAGGACCAGCGTCCGTACGGAATGCCCATTCCGAGAGCGCCACGTGGACAGGCCAGCCCACACCAACGCTGTTCATGCCCACTGCCGTCTCGTAGCTGGGTGGATCGTCTGCGGACGAGACTTTCACGTGCCAACGCCCCCCCAAAGGACGACGGAGGGACAACCTCTCCTATTTAAATCAGTGCAAGTGGAAGCCGTGGTGCACCCACTTGTATCCCGTACGCATCGTATAGATCACTATTCATCATTATTTATATATTATACTGCTATGTTAAAATAATTCAGAACGACTCAACTGTAAAGTTATCATAGTATTTTTAAGTACTACTATTTACAACTTCATTTCTATATTTCTC